AAAGGAGGTTTTGTGTGCGAGGGGCTTGGACTTCCAGCAGGCGTACGTGAGCGTGTTTAATAGGAGTGAATGGAGACGAATGGTTTTTAATACTTGACGTGCTGTTGGAGTGTGAGCAAAGTAACATTTATGAAGGGGTTCAGGGAAACCGGCAGGCCGGACTTGAGTCCTGGAGATGGGAAGTACAGTGCCTGCACTCTGAAGGAGGGGTGTTAATGTTGCAGTTTAAAAACTGTAGTGTAAAGCATCCTTCTGGCAAGACAGTGATGGAGTGAATGATGGTGAAAGTTTTTCTTTTTCTGGCCACCCTGCCTTGGTGGGAATCGGCCAGTGTGATTAATAATAATAATAATAATATATATATATATATATTATATATATATATATATATATATATATATATATATATAATATATATATATATATATATATATATATATATATATATATATATATATATATATTATATATATATATATAATGGTCTGTGTGAAGTCCTGGTGTTGTCTGGGGTGAGTAAGGATGGCCTGACTCACATTTACCAGCACTCACTAGCAACCCAGTGACATAATTACATGTGACGTGTACTATCTTAATCACGCAAATGTGCAGGTAAGTATGAGAGAATGCATCTTCTGATTACACTATCTCTATCACTATTTCACTCGCTCACTCTTTCATTCGCTCACTCTCTCACTTACAATGCCATCTCTTCAAAAGTTATCCACACTTCTGTAGAGAATTTGGACGATGTTTCGGACCGTCTTGGGCCGAAACGGACTTGATGATGGTCTAGGACGGAGTGAGAGGTCGTCAAAAATTTCATCTTCACAATGGGTGTTAATTACCATTTGTTTCAGCCATTATATATAGAATCATCATTTGCATTTTATTTACCATCTCTACTTGTATATGTTATACACTCCTTGTGTGTACTCACCTATTTGTACTCACCTATTTGTGGTTGCAGGGGTCGATTCATAGCTCCTGGCCCCGCCTCTTCGCTGATTGCTACTAGGTCCTCTCTCTCCCTGCTCCATGAGCTCTATCATACCTCGCCTTAAAACTATGTATGTTTCCCGCCTCCACTACGTCACTTTCTAGGCTATTCCACGGCCTGACTACTCTATGACTGAAGAAATACTTCCTAACATCCCTTTGATTCATCTGAGTCTTCAACTTCCAATTGTGACCTCTTGTGTCTGTGTCCCATCTCTGGAACATCCCGTCTTTGTCCACCTTGTCTATTCCGCGCAGTATTTTATATGTCGTTATCATGTCTCCCCTGACCCTCCTGTCCTCCAGTGTCGTCAGGCCGATTTCCCTCAACCTTTCTTCGTAGGACAATCCCCGTAGCTCTAGGACTAGTCTTGTTGCAAACCTTTGCACTTTCTCTAATTTCTTGACGTGCTTGACTAGGTGTGGATTCCAAACTGGTGCTGCATACTCCAGTATGGGCCTGACGTAGATGGTATACAGTGTCTTGTGTCTGTGTGTGTGTTGTTGTGTACACAGAACTTAATTGTCATGCTTGGAGTCTCTCATTGTGTTGCAGCACTTAACCTCTTGTATAATATAGCACCACTTAGCTATTATATAATACTGCACCACTTAGCTATTGTATAATACTGCACCACTTAGCTATCGTATAATACTGCACCACTTAGCTATTGTATAATACTGCACCACTTAGCTATTGTATAAACTTGATTATTCCAGTTAATCCCGCGAATGTATTTCTGTCTCTTGTTTTATACAGTGATATCGTAATGACCAACGTTATCTATCACTGAAATGTAGTACTCGACCTGTTATATTCATACAGAATACAGTAGCTTCACTTTGCGAGCATTTCCACCATGCAACTCTAATACCGAGTAGGGTTGCAACTTCTCTTCCCGTACCACTATCCCCGTAATGGAGGGAAGAGGGTGTGGGAGAGTGGGTTGCTGCCACCCCCGCTGATGGGGCAGCCACCCCCGCCGCTATAACGTGGTAATGGCAACAGGTCACGACACCTGAAGGCATGATCTACACTAACATGCTAAGGACGGCAGAAGCTTCAAAATATTACCTGGTTCAACAAGCTGGCAGGTGAGAAACATTATCTGGAGAATTATTTGTTTTCATAGACAATGAATTATTTAAAAAAATATGTTTTTATTTTTTTGTTTACTTTGACATAATAGACACAGAACATAGAGCAGTGGCAAAGAATACAGACAAGAAGCACTAGCTTCACACATTACATCTATGAAGGAGTGCTGAGTCCCTGACTGATTTCATGGAGGAGCACAAGACGAGCCAACATGAAATTTGGAGCAGGATGATCCGTTTCCTCTAATACAGGAAATTATAATATGAAAATCAGCGAGGCGCTCCGCAAGAAGGCAAAATGCAGAGACTCTTTCTAAAACCATTTGACTAATGGAACAATACAGTGCAAGCTCTTGAGCTGAGGTCAATAAAGAGTACCTAGGACTGTAAGGAAATGGATTCTCAGTTATTTTAAACGAATTTCATCATGAAGAATGATGCAGGACAAAGCAAAGTTCAATGTTTAGCGAAATATAATGTGGGTACCCCAAGGCACACTCCTGACACCTTTACTTTTTATTATCCTCATAGCGGTCATAGATAATAAATACACTAACTGTAGCTTCTAACAGACATAAGGATGTTAAGCAGTGACATATTGCAAGAAAGAAAGTGTAGAAGACGCAGTGAAGGTGATATCAGATGATATTATAAATAAAACACTGTCACTCAAACTTATCAAACTCCTGGAAAATGACAGGCTGGATTATGCGAACTTTCATAACAAGTGAAGTCATGCTAATGATGGTATTATTCATACAGATTGTTCTCTCGTATTTTTCTGTGTTCACGACTCGCGTCGAGATGAAAGAAATAATAGAGTTGTAAAATGTACAGAGGTTGTTTTCTGCCCTCGCAGAGTTAGTTAACCATAAACTACTGACAACGCCCCAGAGCGACTGCAGTTACTTCCTGGAGCGCAGAATACTTGGGAACTTGTTTCCCAATCCGCACACTGCCATGAAAGCTCAATGGAGCAGAGGAACAGGAGGAAATGTAGAATAAACCAGGTAAAAGGATCCTAGGAGCGCTATAGGCACAACTAGAGAAAACTGTGTCAACGTCAGTCGACCTTCTACCACAGCAGGGTGAGTAAACACTACATGCAGGGAAGTCTTTATTTACATATTTCACTCTCGAGGAGAGTAAAATATACTTGAAACATACATGAAATGCAAATAAACCGTTGCATTAATAAAGTCTTCCCTGTATTTACCGTCATATTATTATTTGTTGGCATTTAATGCATTTTCTGCCTGTGTCAACCAGCAGATACGAGAAGTGTTGCCCGAAGACAAGCATCTCCAACAGGAAACTGGATCACTTCATGCTGAATGTATCATATCAGCTAGCTTGTGATAAACCATAACACGGGCGGGGATAGAACCCTCAGTCAGAGAGTTATAAAACTCCAGACCGACGCGTTAGCCACTGGGCCAGCTGGCTACAATAAGAGTCATCCAACTAGATATATTTATACACTATAGGAAGGTTAGCATAGGCACCACTGTGACCACCCACCAGCGCGGCCACGGCCACGCTGATGGGAGATATGTCTGTAAAAACTTGCCTTTATGGTGACAGTGGTGCCTATGCTGACCTTCCTATGGTGTATAAATATACCCAGTTGGATGACTCTTATTGTAGCCAGCTGATTCAGTGGCTAACGCGTCGGTCTGGAGTTTTATGACTCTCTGACCGCGGGTTCTACCCCCACCTGTGGTATGGTTTGTTTGCAATCATGTCATTACGATTTCGTGAGTTTGTGACAGTTATGTAGATCTGTAGATCGCTGCCAGGAGTACCTGTGGGAGGACAGTAGACCGCAACACTGACACTATGGTACTTATATAAACCTTGATGAAGTGGGCTTTATCAAGTAAGAAATTAATAAACTTGATGGACTGATTACATCGACTCCAGGCTAAGGGACTGCTTACCTCAATCTCCTTCCGATCTTCACCATTCTTCTCTATATTAGACTGATGAAGCCACTGCGTGACTAAATATTTCCTCAATAAAGATACCCAAGTGTTGCATAAGTGTTTAATCTATTATTCTAACTGATGTGCAGCACTTAGGTATCTCTAATGGCGAAACGTTCCACAGCAGGAACCGTCAGTTCAGTCCAGAGGAAGATGTGGGGGACGTAATTTTGAGATGTTCAGTTTCTTAGTCTTGACTGAAGGTGGTCGGTCCAGTCTACATATTTTTTTTTTTGAGCTCTTGGGCAAAATCAGTCTCTGATGTCTGCCACACTCAGGAGACATAGTCAGTCATATCAAGACAAGAAACGAGAAACTCTCCAATCTAGATGTGCCCCCTCTCTCTCTCTTTCTTTCTTTCTTTCTCTCTCTCTCTCTCTCTCTCTCTCTCTCTCTCTCTCTCTCTCTCTCTCTCTCTCTCTCTCTCTCTCTCTCTCCTCCTCTCTCTCTCTGCCAAGGTAGCCACCTCACAAGACATTGATCTCCTACGCCGGAAAAAAACTGATGACTCCTCACGTTTTGCCAGTGGTGGACTTACATTTTTGGGGTCCTGAAGCTTAAACTATTATGGGGCCCCTTTGCAACCCCTTCTCATACAGTAGACCCAAGATTTTTAAGCAATGTGGACGAAAGTGGCTTCTGGGGCCCCTCCAGGATTAGGGGGCCTAAAGCCGAAGCTTCATTAGTTTCACAGTAGATCCGCCCCTGCGTTTTACCCATCCCTGGCGGCGACTTCGTGAACTTCGTCGATGAGTGCATACATCACTTTCTAAGACCTGGCTCACCTGAGGCTGCGCAGTACACGACCACGTCACAGGAAGGGCTGCGGGAGCACGATAAAGAAACAACTGAGGCGACACGAGTTAAAACCCTTCCTTCCCCCCCCCCCAAAAAAAAAAGAACTTTTGAGCACTTTACCTTCCTGAAGAGTCGTTGCTTCGACTCTCTGGTGCGTAGGTCTTCCTTGGGTACTAGGGGGTCGGGTGTACCCACGACCTTCCGCATGGGGCGTGGCTCCCCTGCCCCTCCCTCACGCTGGAAGATCTGCCCAGCCTCCCGGTACACCAGCTGAGACACCAGTTCTCGCCTGAGGGACGACAACAGCAGCATGATGCACACGACAACAACAACAACACTAAATATGTGATGACTGTGGAGAGAGTGCTGTGTTGTTTTGTGTTGTGTTGCGTGGTACTCTGTTTTATTGTATTGTTTTGTGTTGCACTTAATTGTGCTGAATTCTGTTTTATTGTACTGTGTTGTATTCTGTTTCATTGTATCGAAATATACTGTATTACAATGTATCGTGTACCCTAATTATCACTTGATTTTTTGTTTCTCCATTCAATGTAGACCTGGTGTCACTTCTCACCCTCACTTCACTGTACACTCCAGGTCACATTATCTCACTGCTCAACTTTCTCACTTCCTTCACAAGGCACTGTACCCCTCCATTACTGCAACTATCATACAAAATGGCGTAGCAGCACACTGCTAGTGTTCCCTCTATGTAACTCTCATACAGAGTAGGAAGGAAGGAACTCCAGCCATCTTTATGGTCACAAACAATGGAACATAGACAAGTCGTAAAATTCTAACGCATCTAATAAACTAAAACACAATAAACGAATATATATATATATATATATAATATATAATAAAATTTAAAATATATAATATATAATATATATATATATATATAAAATATATATATATAATATATATAATATATATATATATATATTTTCGTGCCGAATATGTAAAACTGGTCAATTAGCAAGAACTCTTTTAAAAATTTTAAGTCCTTTCAAAAATTTTTCTCTTATACGTTTAAAGATATATTTTTTTCATTAATGTTAATGTAAAAATTTTTAATTTGCACCAAAAGAATCTTAGAAAACTTACCTAACCTTATTATAACAAGAAGAATTTATTTTAGCGTAACCCAACTAAAAATATTTTAGATTTGTTTACAGTAATTTAATACTAAACAAACACAGCGAAATAAAATTTTTCGTTAGGTTCAGAATGATTTTGGCGAAATTATTGCATAAAACAAATTTTCACTTGTCCTATATGGCAAGTTTAGCGTTGCTATTTAAGCCAAGATCGCAAGTTCTGCCTATTCGGCACGACACATATTATAATATATTTTATATATATATATATATATATAATATATATATATATATATATATATATATAAAATATATATATATATACAAAAATAACTGGAGGATAAAATCTTGTGAGGGTGGAGGTGAGGGGTCAGGAAACAAGCGTGTTAATAAACATACGTTAAAAACATAACGTTCATGATAACTCCCAGGAGGACGATTTAGGTAATAGGAGAGGAGGAGGAGGAGGAGGTAGATGAGCGTGAGGAAGGTAGGAGGAGAGGGGGAGGGAGGTAGTGAAGAAGTGTGTGTGTGTGTGTACTCACCTATTTGTACTCACCTATTTGTGGTTGCAGGGGTCGAGACATAGCTCCTGGCCCTGCCTCTTCACTGATTGCTACTAGGTCCTCTCTCTCCCTGCTCCATGAGCTTTATCATACCTCGCCTTAAAACTATGTATGGTTCCCGCCTCCACTACTTCACTTTCTAGACTATTCCACGACTTGACTACTCTATGACTGAAGAAATACTTCCTAACATCCCTTTGATTCATCTGAGTCTTCAATTTCCAATTGTGACCTCTTGTGTCTGTGTCCCATCTCTGGAACATCCTGTCTTTGCCCCACCTTGTCTTTTCCCGGGCGCAGTATTTATATGTCGTTATCATGTCTCCCCTGACCCTCCTGTCCTCCAGTGTCGTCAGGCCGATTTCCCTAACCTTTTTCGTAGGACAATCCCCGTAGCTCTGGGACTAGTATTGTTGCAAACCTTTGCACTTTCCCTCTAATTTCTTGACGTGCTTGACTAGGTGTGGATTCCAAACTGGTGCTGCATACTCCAGTATGGCCTGACGTAAAAGGGTATACAGTGTCTTGAACGACTCCTTACTGAGGTATCGGAACGCTATCCGAGGTTTGCCAGGCGCCCGTATGCTGCACAGTTATCTGATTTATGTGCGCCTCAGGAGATATGCTCGGTGTTATACTCACCCCCAGTTCTTTTCCTTGAGTGAGGTTTGCCAGTCTTTGGCCATCTAAACTATATTGTGTCTGCGGTCTTCTTGCCCTTCCCCAATCTTAAATGCCCTTTGCATTTGGCAGGGTTTAAACTCAAGGAGCCAGTTGCTGGACCAGGCTTGTACCCTGTCCAGGTCTCTTTGTAGTCCTGCCTGATCCTCATCCGATTTGATTCTTCTCATTAACTTCACATCATCTGCAAACAAGGACACTTCTGAGTCTATCCCTTCCGTTATGTCGTTTCACATATACCAAGAACAGCAGAGGTCCTAGGACTGACCCCTGTGGAACCCCGCTTGTCACAAGCGCCCACTCTGACACCTCGCCCACGTACCATGACTCGTTGTTGCCTCCCTGTCAGGTATTCTCTGATCCATTGCAGTTGCCTTTCCTGTTATGTGTGCCTGATCTTCTAGCTTTTTCAGTAACCTCTTGTGAGGAACTGTGTCGAAGGCCTTTTTGCGTCCAAAAAAATGCAGTCGATCCCCCCCCTCTCCTCTTGTCTTACTTCTGTCACCTTGTCATAAAACTCTAGTGGGTTTTTGTGACACAGGATTTTCCTTCCCTGAAACCAGCTGGTTGTCAATTATACACTTGTTTCTTTCCAGGTGCTCCACCCCCTCTCCTCCTGATGATCTTCTCCATGACCTTGCATACTATACACGTTAGTGATACAGGTCTGTAGTTTAGTGCCTCATGTCTTCTCCCCTTTTTAAAAATTGGGACTACATTTGCCATCTTCCATACCTCAGGGAGTTGCCCAGTTTCAAATGATGTGTTGAAGATCTTTGTTAAAAGGCACACACAATATCTCTGCTCCCTCTTTAAGGACCCACCGGAGAGATGTTGTCTGGTCCCACCGCCTTTGAGGTGTCCAAGTTCGCATAGCAGCTTCTTCACTTCCTCCTTGGTTATATGTACCTCATCCAGCACTTGCTGGTGTACCCCCCTGTTCTGTTTCCCTGGAGTCCTACTGGTTTCCACTTTAAATACTTCTTTAAATCTCGTGTTGAGCTCCTGACATATCTCCGGTCGTTGCTTGTGAATTCCCCCATCACCCTTCCTCAGTCTGATTACCTGGTCCTTGACTGTTGTTTTCCTCCTGATGTGGCTGTACAACAGCTCGGGTCAGTCTTGACTTTCGATGCTGTCTTTTTTCATATTGTCGCTGAGCCTCCCTTCTTATCTGTGCATATTCATTTCTGGCTCTTCGGCTAATCTCTTTATTTTCCTGAGTTCTCTGTCTTCTGTACCTTTTCCATTCTCTAGAAACACCTAGTTTTTGCCTCCCTACACCTTTGGGTAAACCCAAGGACTCGTTCTGTTCTTCCCATTATTTCTGTTTTTCCCTTGGGAACAAACCTCTCCTCTGCCTCCTTGCTTTTTGTTGCCACATAGTCCATCATTTCTGACGGGTTTTCCTGTCAGTTCCCTCTCCCACTGAATGTTTTGAAGGAAGTTCCTCATGCCTGATAGTTCCCCCTTTTGTATTTTTGGTTTTTCCCACCCAAATTCCTGCTACTCTCTCCACTTGGAGCTCAACTATGTAGTCGAAGCACAGAACGACATGATCACTACTCCCAGGGGCCTTTCATACAAGTTTATCCTCGATGTCTGAACTACTCAAGGTGAATACAAGGTCCATCTTGCGGGTTTCATCTTCTCCTCTCTCCTGGTAGTGTCTCTAACATGTTGATGCATGAGGTTTTCCAGTACTACATCCATCATCTTGTTTTCTCCATGTTTGGGAAACCCCCATGGGGCTCCAGGTTTTCCCAGTCAATCTCCTTGTGATTGAAATCACCCATAACTAGTAACTTTGCTCCCCCCACGTGTGCTCTCCTGGCCACCTCGACTAGTGTCAACCATGGCTCTGTTGCTCTCATCGTATTCTTCTCTTGGTCTCCTGCAGTTCTGTGGTGGGTTGTACATTACTGCAATTATCACCTTATGTCCCTCAGACTGGATTGTTCCTACTAAGTAGTCCCTTTCACCCGTGCCATCCATTCCTTCCATTTTCTCAAAACCCCACTGGTTTTTAATGAGCAGTGCAACTCCTCCTCCCCCTCTCCTCCCTCTGTCTTTCCTGAGGATTTGATATCCGGGTGGAAAGATTGAATCTGTTATTATTCTGGTGAGTTTTGTTTCTGTGAGTGCTATTATGTCTGGGGATGTCTCCTTGATTCTTTTGTGCCACCTTCATACTTGTTTGTTATTCCATCTGCATTTGTATCCCCTACCTTCAACTTCTTTTCTATGACTGTGGTCTGGGAGGTGTATTGGGGTTGGGGAAGTGGGAGACCTGATAAGGAACTATGGGCGGTTGCTGTGGGGGTGGAGTTTGTAATGTAGTGGGTGGGGGCATTGGATATGGCATGGGTGTTTTGGTTTAGAGTGTTTGGCTGCACGGGGGTTGACCTTGTTGGGAGGCTTCTATAGGAAGCTGTGAGGGAGGTTGTAATTTGATCTTCTTCCTGTGTCTGGGATCTCCTGTCTGTCTTCTCCATCCCCTCTCTTTTCCTCCTTTTGCCTTTGTACCAACTCTCTCAGTTTCCGCCTTTCGTCTTTTGTTTTCCGCGGTCGAGATACACCTTCCCGTATGCCGGCATGTCCCTTAATCATGCTTTCTCCGGCAGATCCTGTTCCGAGTCGATTCTGCCTTGAAGGTCACTTTCACTGGCCGGGTTCCTTTTTTACAAACCCCCCTATTCTCCGAAAATTTTTCCCGCTGGGGCATGTCGTCTTCTCCGATTACTTTCATGATGCTTTCAATTGCTTTTTTTCCCCTTGTTTTCTTGCTTCATATGTTTACCCCCTTTAACTTCCTGTAGCCCATACACAAAGACTGACCTCACCCTTCATTCTCCCCACTGCATATCCCTGTGTATCCCCTCATTCAATTGATTTTCCTCCATTGCAGCTTTCCTTTCTTCATTTTCACTAGCTACTGTACA